ACACGGACAGAAAACTGAAAAACATGGACACGAGAATAACAAACATCGACACGAAACAGGAAAACATGAACACGAAACAGGAAAACATGAACACGAAAATAGAGAACTTGCAAGCGAACGTGGAAGCAAAGTTCGAAGCGATGAATAATGAAGTGAGAGGAATGAAAATGAGTTTAAATGAAGTAAAAGATGGCTTTGATCACTTGAAAGAAGCAGTACTTGAGAAGATAGAGAGCAAAGAAAGAAAGCAGGAGGAAATCACAAGAGATGTAAGTGGCACAGCGAGTGGCGGGAGAGAAAATCAACATATATTTGTTGCTGGTGGTGGCGGGAGAAACTCGGTAGAAATATTTAACTACCGTCAGAGATTGTGGTCTTTATTAAAGCCCATGCCAAGCAATCGTGACGAAGCATCTTCATTTGTTTACAATAATCATGTGACTGTAGCGGGAGGGTATTGTCGTGGTTCTAGTGTAGATAACATGATCCAAATGAAGATTCACCCAGTCCCTGATCTCTCAATTAACTGGAGTGATTTTGCTGCTAAACTCCCTACCAAGATGTTTGCACACAGCAGTGTGGTATACAAGGATAGCTTGTTGGTTACTGGTGGTTATAACGCAGATCAACGTGTCTTCTCTGACTGTATTCACGTAGTCCAACTTAAACCACCTTACACTGTTAAACTGGTATCCAAGATGCCTGAACCAAGATTTCGTCACAGCATAGTACTATGTGATAATAGTATTCTGATCGTTGGGGGAACGAAATCAGGGAAATGCAAAGACAACCTCAGCAGTGTGTTAAGCTATAACATCAAGAAGAATGAATGTCAACAGTTACGTGCGCTTCCCTATCCAGTGAGTGAAATGGCGACAGTCAAGTGGGCTGAGAATGTCGTGATCATTGGTGGGGCTGACAAGGATGGTGAACCATTAAACAATGTTATAATTTATAACATCAAGACTGGAAACAGTCATATGTTGCCTCCCATGTTACACAAGAGGAAAGAATGCATGGCAGTTGTTATTGAGAATACAATTGTAGTACTAGGAGGCGAGGATGAAAAAAGGAACGATTTGAAATCAGTTGAAGGTTTCAATTTTGAGCGATTTTCATGGCAGGAACTTCCTGACATGAAGGAAAAAAGATGCTTGGCTACAGCTGTTGTGATCTAGACATACTTGTATATATTATGTACAATATTTGACATATACGTCAAAACTTTATTCAGATTTTATAACATATGGATTAAAGAACTGCCTTACTCTAAGCGCTACAATGTTGTAATATAGATATCATTGAGTAAAAATTCATGCCTATACAGTATATACTATTTAAAGATTGTGTTTATCTGAATAAGCAATCTCTGATGATTTCAGTAAAGAAACTTCATCTCGTTATACTAGAGACCTTTCTCTAACTTTCTAACTTATAGATTTATTCAATTGATTGCCTCACATGAACTTAAAATTTATATCAAAATATGACCTCCACAAGAGGGGAAAGTCTGGGAATGAGGTCGACATCAAGCTGTTGAGCATACGCGCTATTTTAGTTTAAAATTAATAAAACAGCCCAGTCAATAGTTTTTATGCCATACATTTTTTGCATTTTTTCATACGCTGTGTATTTAAAGTATGTGTCTGGTCCAAAAATGATTTCAAATAACATTTAATACGTCTGCACTAAGAAACTAATTCGTGCCGTTTGTTCAAAGTAGCTCATTCACATTTACATGCATGTAA